CCCTGTTTAAGAACTTAATTAAATATATCTCCATCAAAGTTTGATTTGGGGGGCAAATATTGGCTATTACCGAATAAAGTTCTTTACTTAAATTGTCTTTAATAAATGCCAAAATTATTTTATTGAAATTTCTTCTTAAAGCTTCCAATCTAGGAAGAGGTGGACGAACAGTATCCAAGCTCAAAGTCCATTAAACAATACAAATCATGAGCAGACACATACCTCTAAAATATCAGAGACTGGATCAAGTGTCATGGAGGAGTGAGCATCCACTCCGACAGGTCACACGCGACGTTCGCTACTCGTCATGATTGGGAAAATTGGGAAATAACGGAAAATCCGTCGACAATTCAGTTTGTAAAAAAAAAATGCCTAACAATATCAGTATGAAAAAGATCAGTAAGCATTTGACTCAATGAAAGATTATATTTACTGACATGGTCAATGTATCGACCATAGAACTTACGAAACGTTGACTTTAAGAGACTGCTGATATTCCTGTTTCATCAACTTGTTTGTCAATACCTTACCTCTTTTTTAAAATTGTTCATACGTAGAGCATGATCTTGGATATCGAATCAAAAGAGTGATATAAACATCGTTTGCAGATGCTGCAGGTATATTGCTGCATAAGTTGAAGATAGAAAAGTTGCAGTCACTATGTTTGTCATAAAGCTTTGTTATTTGATTGTCATAAAGGTCTTTTTTTCTTCTAGGTCTCCCGCGAAGCGCAGTTGTTAGCGAGTCTGCTCGAGAAATGCGAAATAAAGAGTCGATCTTTACGTCGCGGGTTCGAATCCCACTTTGGGACGTGGAGACCGGTCCTTCGGATGAGACCGTATTTGATCGGGGTCCCGTGTCGCAGAAGGTGCTGGCACGAAAAAGATCCCTCACTGCTCAACATTTGGCCCTAAGTGCTGAATATAAGACAAAATCTGTAGCTTTCCACGTTTTGGAATCTTCATATGAGTGAAAAATTCTCGAGGGACGTTAAACAATATACAAACAATTAATCAATTTTTTTTCTAATAAAATAATATCCAAAATTGAAACAGATATGTCAGTCTCTGTGGATTTTTATTTCAAGCTCACCGGTGAGTATGCAAATTGAAGTCTGACTCTGTCATTTACCGCTCTACAGTATTTCAATAAGAATAAGATATTTTTTTAAGGTCGTGGACTTAAAGAGGCTGGGGTGGGGGGGGGGGGGCAGCCATTTTCAGACTATTTCGATCTCCTTTAAAAGAAGAGCTCCATATAAAGATATACAAAAATTTTCAATTTCAAAACTAAAATGTATGATTTTTTTCTTTGCCAACTGATAGTTGTCAGTTTAAGATACTGTATCTAAAAAAAAAAAAATAAGTCAAATCTGGTGGTCAATTTGTTGACCCCCCCCCCCCCCAGCCTCCTTAAGTGATTTTTTTTTAATATCGTATCGACATAAGAATGGAAATAATTGTTTATTGACAATCATCGATAAAATTAAATGACGAGTTGAAGGCCATATTTTTGTATAAAATCTGTATCGTGTGCGTACAATTTTAGGTTTGCTTATAAAGGGGCGCAAATTGGTACCCATCGGTTTCCCTATAGATTGTTGGAAGACCTATTATCCATAAACCACATAGATATTGTCAATCAGAAACCCGAACATCTGTTTTAATATCAACTTCAAAGTACTAACGTGTACAGACATAGTCTTTTTTTTAACAAAATAATTTTGCAAATGACGACTGACAATTAAGGTAAGTGAATTTACGAGTTCCATTTTATTGAAAAAGCAGCCGCCAATCAGAAAGTCTGTAATTTAACTTACACTGGGGAATGGTTGTTTATAAAGTCGAAAAGTCGCAAGTTTTTAGGTTTTTGATTTTGGTAAATACATACTGATCGTGCACTAAACCTAACTCATCCTAGCAAATAATATTAAATACTTGAAAGGAGTAGTTTTGCGCTGTAAAATACTATTTAAGAGTACTTATAAAGATATGTGTACATCATGTACATGTAGCAAACGACAAACGGTAATATTTTGACAGTGTTCAAAGAGGAATGACTCTTGATCAATCTCTAAAGTTAACTGTACTGGAATTAGAGAATAAAAAAAAAAACCTTCATATGACTTAAAACAGTTTTGTTCATATGCGCGAGTCTTCACTCTTTTAAAGGACATACAGTACACGAGGTGTATTTTTATGATACCGTACATGGCCAATCTCTAAACGTAAAAAAGTGTAACCTGCTTGTACAGAGCGACATATAGATATAATACACGGGGAAATCTCATATTTTTGAAAAATTAAATGCTCTTGATATTTTTTTAATTGGAGGGGGGGGGGGTTCACACTTCAGGTGCCTGTGGAACATTAACCACGGACCTTTAAAACATTTTTGGATCAGGTGTCATGGAGGAGCAAACTTGCCCTGTCGACCGGTCAAATTCGCCGTGTTCTCCATGTACTCATCGGAAAACGGAAAAATTTCTAGGCAATGAAGTGTGTTTACAAATAAAGGCCAAACAAACAAGAAAATCGTTTTTAAGTCTTCGACTTAATGATATCCTTGCTGACCAGGTCATTATTTCGACCATAGAACTTATACATGCATATGCTTGCTTTAAACGAGACTGTTGAAATTTTTGTTTCATAAACTTGTTTGTCAAAAGTTTGCTTCGTTGTAGAAATCGTTTGTACTCTTGAGTATCGAAATGAGATATAAAAAAAAACCGTATGTAGGTGATAATCTTGATGATATTGCTACAAAAGTAAAGGAAGTTTATGATGGAAAAGTTTTAATCATCACGTTTACCATTTATTTTTGCTGTAAGGTTTCCATTAACGCAGATTTCTAGTAAAATATCAAAATATGAAACAGATATGTTGGACTCTTGTATCCTTCATTTCAAGTTCACCGGGAAAATCGAGGCGACAAATAAATGAAAGTTACGATTGTTAATTCATATTAAAAATACCGTGCAATCTTAAGGAAAACAAGCTAATTCAGAGAATTCGTGTCCCCCGCTTAGGGAAAAAGTCGGCTCCCCCTGACTGAATTTGTAGAATTATTAAATGTATACATGTATACTGAAGGAAATAAAATACATGTATGTCAATATGCATATAAAGATTTGATTGCTTATTCTTTATTATGTGTATAGAAGATTTTTTTATATGGAATAATTATCACACTGTAATGATGATTTTATAACCTCATAAATTTTTCATTTCACATGCTGAATACTATCATTTAGTAAAAAAAAAAAGTATTAAAAAAAAAAAAGTATTAAAAAAAAAAAAAAAAGAGGAAGGTTCGACCGAAATTCGATCCCGGGCCCTCTCACATTTGCAGCGAGAGACATAACCACTAGACCACGGAGTCTCTTTACACAGAGTGAAGTATATGCAGAACAGAAGTCACATACATGTATATATTCATGTTTTCATGTTCGGTATTCTCAAAATTTTACACAATCCATGGTGTTTGATTTATTTAGCCTTTATTAAACAGTTATAATAGATGTAATAAGAACATAAAGTCCACCGAGAACCTGTTTTATACGCAATAACTCTCCTCATGCCCCTGCGCTAAAAATAGCGACATGTAATACTATAAATACTAATAAAACAAACGGGGCGGGGCACTTTGAGAGGGGCGAGAGACGTCCTAGGGAGTTTAGGTATAAAATTACATTGCATAAGCTCAAAATCTTCTTGAAATATCGCCCGGAAATGATAGTGTTACACACAGACAGAATGTATAAATTTACGACCTTGAACTTTGACCTTTTGACCTCAAAATCAATAGGGGTCTTCTTTAGGCCACAGGGAGTTATGTAAAATTTCATTGCGATAGCTCAAATGGTTCTAGAGATATCGTGTGGAAACGAAAGTGTTTTAACAGACAGAATTTGCTTATTTATGACCTTGACCTTTGACCTTTTGACCTCAAAATCAATAGGGGTCTTCTTTAGTCCATAGGGAGTTGCTATGCTAAATTTCATTGCAAAAGCTCAAAGGGTTCTCGAGATATCGTGTGGAAACGAAAGCGTTACAGACAGACAGAAAGACGGACGGACGGACGGACGGACGGACGGACAAACCCAAATTAATATCCCCCACTTTTCAAGCGGGGGACAAAAAGTTGATACAACAGGGATATCAATAGTATTGTTTAAAGTCAACATTTCACAAATTCTAAGGTTGATACAAAGACCTTTCAGTTCTCAACAAATACAATTTATCAGTTAGTCAAATGCTGACTGATGTTTTTCGTACAAATTGCTAGGCCATTAAGAACGCGGAACATTACTACCAGTAACTGGCAAGATTGGAAATATGCACATTCACAAGTTTTCCCTTTGAAAACAGCTCAGGTGGATTGAATCAAATGAATTTCAAACTAGAATTTCAATCTAATGTTTTCTCCGCCGTCCGTGTCGAATTGTACCCGCCCATTTCAATGTCTGTCATTAAATGTTTGGACTGTAAGATGGAAATAACGTAAAATGCATATTTCCAAATTTCCCAGTTAATATTCCGAGGTCTTATTTACATACTGAATTTATCTCAAATGAAATTTTCTGATTGTCCAATCATGATGTCCAATGAGCGCACTGTGGGAGTGACAAGGTAGTCATCAGAGAGATTCTTGCCCCTCCATGGCACCTCATCCAAACCCCTATTTTTGATTGCCCATATTTGCTCCCTGTTCGTCTAGGTTTAATGGACTTTTGAGCTTGGCTACTGATTATTTTAACCATATTTCATTACAAAAGCTTCAAGAAATGACGTTCTTTAAACTCTTCAAACCAAACGGCTTGGCTTGGCTAATTTGAGGTCTCTAAATAAATATACATAAAGGAAGTAAGAACATTTTCATCTAAGAAAAACTTAAATATGAAAAAGTACTCCATTCACTTTAACATATAAAATTCTAAATATGAAAACTGTGCTTTACTCAGGATACATTGTACATGAAACATAAAAAATTAACACAAGTGACTGAAATTACTTTATTCACATCTCTGATCACAGTCACACATGTACATACAATATAGCAACCAATATTACTTGAATCAAATGTCATTAAATGGCAATCATCACGTGCTGGCAGGCACCTTCTGAAAAAGAAAATTTTACATTCAATTAATGATAAGCTTAGAAGTGCCTGTTACACTCAAAACAAGCTTAGAAGTGTTTTGCTGACAACCTAACGTGCTACTGTACTTTCTACGTCAGATTAAATGTATAACAATGTCATATGTGGCTGTAATAAAAGAAAACATCATTTAGCAAGAGTCATCTTTCTTATAAATTCCATCCCATGTCAGGTTTTATCAAATCTTCTCTTAAGTCTCAATATATTGAACTCTGGAAAAGTAAACTACAAGTAATAATTATTATGATTTTTAGGGGAAAGTGGTTCACATGAAATCCATGTGATTTTCTTTTTATTTGAAAATTGCGTGAAAATAAAAAAAAAATCTTTTTTTTCATGCTAATGTCATGGACATTGGCATGTATTAATCTTTTTTTTATAACTTTCATTTTCATTTTTCTTTGCATAATATTTGTGTGAATGCTCTTCACATAAAAGTTATGCCAAAATCTGAAGTTTTCACATCAATTTCACAGGTCTTGTTTTGTCTCTTTCTCACACAAAGAATTCACATAAATCAATGTGAATGTGATAAAATTTATGCAAGCTACTTTTGCCCCTGTATCAATGTTTTTCTGAACATTTCAAAAAAATTAATGAGGTATTGGACCTACAGATACATGTATGTTAAAGATGATGTTCTTTTTTTTTTTACATCACATGGTAGCTTTATCTTCCCATCAATTATTGCCAAAAAATAGAAGCCAGCACAAAATGTAAAACAAACAAGAGGCCCATGGGCCACATCGCTCACCTGAGAAGCTTTGACCATTCTGTTCTTTACCAGATTTCCCCCTTGTAATACATTATGTATCCCCACCCTACCCCACTGATCATAATTAAGACATTTTGAAATCAACTACCCCAGGATCCTTCCATGTGCAAATAAGTTTCAGCTTTTCTGGCCCAGTGGTTCTTGAGAAGAAGATTTTCAAAGATTTTTCCTATATATTTTTATGTAAAACTTTGATCCCCCCATTGTGGCTCCATCCTTCATCTGGGGGTCATGATTTGAACAATTTAAAATCTACATTACCCAAGAATGCTTCCACATAAGTTTCAGCTTTTCTGGCCCGGTGGTTCTTGAGAAGAAGATTTTCAAAGATTTTTACAATATATTTCTATGTAAAACTTTGATTACCAATTGTGGCCCCACCCTTCCCCTGGGGGGTCATGATTTAATTTAGAATCTACACTATACCAGGATGCTTCCACATAAGTTTCAGCTTTTTTGGCACAGTGGTTCTTGAGAAGAAGATTTTCAAAGATTTTTACAATATATTTCTATGTAAAACTTTGATTCCCCATTGTGGCCTCGCTCTTTCCCCGGGGGTCATGATTTGAATAACTTAGAATCTACACTACCCAAGAATGCTTCCACATAAGTTTCAACTTTTCTGGCACAGTGGTTCTTAAGAAGTAGATTTTCCAAGATTTTTCCTATATATTTCTATGTAAAACTTTGATTCCCCATTGTGGCCCCACCCTTCCCCCGGGGGTCATGATTTTTACAATTTAGAATCTACACTATCCCAGGATGCTTCCACATAAGTTTCAGCTTTTCTGGCCCAGTAGTTCTTGAGAAGAAGATTTTCAAAGATTTTTCCTATATATTTCTATGTAAAACTTTGATTCCCCATTGTGGCCCCGCCCTTGCCCCGGGGGCTCATGATTTGAACAATTTAATATCTACACTACCCTAGGATGCTTTCACATAAGTTTCAGCTTTTCTGGCACAGTAGTTCTTGAGAAGAAGATTTTCAAAGATTTTTCCTATATATTTCTATGTAAAACTTTGATTCCCCATTGTGGCCCCGCCCTTCCCCCGGGGGTCATGATTTGAACAATTTAATATCTACCCTACCCTAGGATGCTTTCAAATAAGTTTCAGCTTTTCTGGCCCAGTGGTTCTTGAGAAGATTTTTTAATGACCCCACCCTATTTTTGTCTTTTCTTGATTATCTCCCCTTGTGAAGGGACTTTGCCCTTCCTTTTAAAAATTTAAATTCCCCTTCACCCAAGGATGCTTTGTACCAAGTTTGGTCAAAATTGGCCCAATGGTTCTTGAGAAGAAGTCGAAAATGTGAAAAGTTTACAGACGGACAGACGGACAGACAGACAGACAGACACACAGACAGACGGACGGACGACGGACAAAATGTGATCAGAAAAGCTCACTTGAGCCTTCGGCTCAGGTGAGCTAAAAAAAAAAATAAATAGGTGAAAGGAATAACAAAAACATTTTTAGATTGTGTTCTTTGGAAAAATGTGTTCTGTCATAAATATTTCAATCTTAGGAATTTTATTTTTAAAAAACTGAGAAAAAACGAGCCATTAATTTTCAACTGGAAATATTGGGCTGAATATTGACCCCAAGAAGATGAAAAGGGAACTGATAAATCCCTGGATTAACCAAAATACTTATCTGTTTAAATCTCAATCGATGCTGTTAAACATTGTGATCAAGCTTTCAATCCTGAAACATTTTCATTACAAAAAATTTCATAGACAGTGATAATTAACCTGTAGTCTTTTTAATAATGCAGCATTTTTGTTCTGGAAATCATTTTCTGCATTGCTGTATCCCATTCCAAAGCCTGTTCCTACTCCAAATGCGATTGGCCATGTTCTTCCTGAAAAGATATCAAATGATCAAACTAGGAATGATAAAGAAAACCCTCAAAGTACATGTACATGTAGCAACTGGACTATGGTGAACATTTAACCTTTTATACTAAGGTAAAAATGGTGTTAATATATTTAAAATTTCATATCATTCAGACATGTCAGATGCTGGTGGAAAATTACTAATTCTTAAAAATAATCTGATTTGGTAGAAGTTTTTACAATTCACAGATTTTCAGGGTCAATTATTGAAACAGGAGTGATTTAGTGAGACTGATGCTGTTTTTCAAAATTTGTTATCACAATGGCATTTACTCCCTCAATTAAATTTAATTTTCATCAATGGTGAAGTAGAAGCTTATTGCAAGTGGAGTATGCATGTCTTCTTTTTTATTATATCATATAATTTCTGTTTCGAAAGATAGTGATACGATCTCTTTCCTTTATCATATTCAAAATTCATGACTTAAATACAAAGGTGACAAAATATGTTCTATACTTTTGATATGAAATGAATAAAAAAAATGTTTGGCTTACTCTTGAAAAGAACTAAGGAGAATACACCACCGACCAAAAAACCAGTTGCTGAAATAGAAGAATAGTAGATTTCATCATTTAGGTAAAATAAACCTTACAACATACTGTACAAGAATAGGCCTCATCAGAATGTTTCATTTGCCATTGACATGATTGATTGATATTATCAAATGCACCTTAAGTATAGAAAGAGCCAAGCGTAGAGACAATTTGCTTTTTGCTAGTGGTCTCAACATGCTCAACTTGAAAGTAAATAAAGTGCAGAAGGATAAAACGTACGCTGAACTAGGACCTTAGGTCCCCCGCGCACTTCACGTCTCTCGGGTCTGTTTACTCCGCTACAAAATGTAGTGCGTTGCATACGTAAAGTGAAAATAGAATAAATCGTGATACTGTGAAGCCTTTTCAGTGTTAAAAAAAACAGAAAATTTATTTTTGTCAAGGGAATAACCATCTGTGATGGGTATTAGAAAACGAAGAGTAGGAGGGGGGTTGCTGAGCAACATTAACTTCAATATTATAAGATATATGATATATTAGAGTTTAACATTTATGGATTACATTGGGTGACCTGTGGTCTTCCCTATGATTTTATTATTCCATGTAAGGTTATAGTATCTATATAACACAGTGCCTAACCTCTGATCTCCTTACTGATAGTGAGCGACTCAGAGTAAACGACGTACGTCCAGTCTCTGCATTCGCAGATCTCTAACAAGCGGGGGGGGGGGGGTGTTGAAGATTTTGCCCCCTACCACCCCCCTTTCATTTCGCTCGGACTTTTCACCAATCCTTTATCATAATGGAATAATTATTTGTTAATAAATCATTTAATGTTTCTTTTGTCTTCCTTATGAGGTCATGCCTAAATAGGCGACATCATCACTTTAAAAATCTTTGCCGGAAATCCCTGATTTTTATTTATCTTACAAAGAAGATGTACACCCTGTATTACAAAGTTTCGGGCTGTTTGGAGTTCTCTTCCCCTTTCCCTGGAATTAACACATCAAATTCACAAACCCGTCAAAACTACATTAAAAAAAAAAAGAAATAAAGTTTTAAAAATGCACCAATAGTTATTGAACTTTGGGATACATATACTGTATTTGAAGACAAGCAAGTTGACTAATCCTCCAAATTCCAATTACATACATGTACATTTAGAGAATTCGGAGAAATTGTGCAATTTTTCCTCGGTCAAAAAATTAGGGTCGCAATTCCTTTTTTGAGAGGATTTGAAAAATAATTCTACACATGCCTTGATTTTAAATTATTACAACTTACAACTTTCAATAACATCGTAATAATGTATAACATAAGATTACCTTTGTCTCATTCATATACTACAATTTGTGAAGTATGAAATCCTTATTGATGGACAATATAAGACTTCCGCTTGTTTCCATAATCTTTATGCGAATACCACAGGTAAAAAGTTAATGAGACCAGAAGTCACTTTATATCGCACATCTTTAGGGCAACCATAGGTCACCATATATTGTACATCAAAAGGGAGACCAGATGTCATCTTCCGTTCTACATTATATGGGGGACCAGAGGCCACCTGATTTTGTACATCAGTAGGGGGACCATAGATAACCTTATATTGTATATCAGTAGGGGGACCATAGGATACCTTATATTGTACATCAGTAGGGGGACCAGGGATCACCTTATATTGTACGTAAGTAGGGGGACCTGAGGTCACCTTAATTTGAATAACAGTAGGGGGACCAGAGGAAACCTTATAATACACTTTATATAAGAAGGGGGAACAAAAGTTATCTTATACTCTAAATCAGTAGGAAGACCAGTAATCATCTTATTTGTACATCAATAGGGGGCCCAGAGGACACCTTATATTGTACATCGGTAGGGGGACCAGAGGTCACCTTATATTGTACATCAGTAAGGGGACCTGTGGTCATCTTATATTGTACATAAGTAGGGGGACCAGAGGACACCTAATATTATACTTTAGATCAATAGGGGGACCAGAGGGCACCTTATTTTGTACATCAGGAGGGGACATCAGTAGGAGACTCAGAGGACACCTTATATTTAAAATCAGTAGGAGACATCAGTAGGGGGACCAGAGGTCACCTTAAATTGTTCATCAGAAGGGGACCTG